TGCTGTCTTGATGCCTGGTGCCTGCTCACTCCTCCCACCTGGCCCCAGGAAGACAGCAGCTGTGCTAACAATGGCTGCACCCCAGGGTGGGGTGGGGTCTCTGGGGACCACCTCACCTCCTCCTGTGTTCTGCTCAGGGCTCTGGGTTCCTGGGTCTTTCGGGCGTGCTCATGTCCCTTCACTGATTTTTCCAGCTTGCATGGCCACCCGGGGCCGACTGGCTAGCCAGCAGCAGGCTGTTTAATGGCTACCATTCAAAGTTCAGCTTGGAGACACCCGGGCTAGTTAATGAACACCCAGCGCCTGTGGTCCCTGCCCAGCTCTCCCAACACCTGCGGAACAAGCTCGGGTTTCCTCCATTTGCCAATCCCACCCTCCTGACCCCGCTCCACTCCCTGCCCAGGGCTTCAGAAAGTGGCAGCCGCAGGGGCAATGAGAGCTGAGCTGAGCTTCCTGGGCAGCACCCTGCACTCCACAGAGATGTGTTCTGACTGCCAGCCTTCGAGGGAGGCCACCACTAGCACATAGGGAGAGAGAGAGAGAGAGAGAGAGAGAGAGAGAGAGAGAGAGAGAGAGTGTGTGTGTGTGTGTGTGTGTGCGCTTTCTTTGCGTTTGGGCCAGCTGGTTGTCTGTCTGAAGGACACCCTTTGCCTTGGGTGAAGTCATCTTTGTGCTGTTTCTTTGGCCAAGCACCCATTCACCTGGTCTCGCAGCTCCCTGGCGCTGGCATGCGTGCCTCACCTATAAGCGGCTGCTAAGGGACTGAGTCACCCCCGTGGTGGCCTGTGGTTGGATGTGGGCTGAGGTTACTTGGTGACTAATTTCCAAGGGGAGGAGTGAGCGGCCTTTGGCGTGGGGAGGGCCCCTCCTCCGCTTCCTCCTCCTCCTTCTCCTCCTCCTCCACCTCCATGCCGGCGGCAGCTCGGCTCCCAAGTCTGGGCACAGCCACCACAGTGAGGACAGGCTTCGCAAGTTGTGAGCACTCAGAGTGGGGAGAGGCTTCTGTGGGTGTGTGGGAGGGTGCTTCTGCATCCCCTGGGATGACCTTGCATCCACTGGAGAGCTCGCTGTGTAAGACAACCCGGTGCTGGGCACGGGACTCGGAAGCAAGGCAGCCACGCCGTGGAGGGCTGAGCCAATGGTGCGAGTGACACAGGTGGCTCCCCTGGGACAAGGTAAGTGACTTCAGGTCTTGGAGGATCATGATGGAGTCTCTCAAGGACCCTTCCCTATTTCCCCCTCCTCCTGGTCGGGGTGGGCAGCTCCATGGTGCCGCCTGCTGAGTGGGATGTTTATAAATTGTGGGCTTGGCGGGGATGGGGGGATGGCAGGGATCGGCAGCCATGCAGGCTACGTGATATTCCTTTTTCCACAAGGTGTAAGGCATATAGATTTCACGGGCTACACAAAAACCCCTGACAGCTCCTGAGATCACGTGAAGCAAACACTGGTTTTGCAAACACTTGTTTTGGTTTGTTTCTCCTTCCCATACTAAAGGTTCCCTCTGTTTTTCACACAAGTGAGAGATGGGGTTTAGCTGGTGGTGGGTGTGTTGGGGGACAAGGAAGCTGGTTCTGTTTTTCCCTCCAAGCTCGGGGAATGGATCTGAAGCTCCCGTAGAGGTGGCTAGGGGCCAGCCAGTCCATTCACTGGGCCGTATACTGCAACACTGCCCGGTCAGGCTCCCACAGCAGCAGCCCCAGCTGTAAGAGCTAGAAGGAAGCAGGCTTCAGCCAGCAGAGGTTTGAATGGAGAACGGGGATTCTGGGCTCTGCCTGACGGAGCAGCTATGGGGGCAGACAGGCTCGTCCATCCCCGGAACCAGGGTCTCCAGGGTGGAAGGATGAAGTTGCCACAGGATCAGGCTCAGGTGTGTGCAGTATTCTGATAAGGGGAGAACCTGGTTGGTGGGTTTAGGTTTGTCTCTGTCTTGGTGTCACGATGGAACTTTCTGAACTCAGATCCGAACATGAGTGTTGGGGTTTTCTGGGCAAGAAATGTCAAGGATGGAACAGATCGTGAAGTTTTTAACACAGAGAGGGGAGGTGATGGGGGTGGCTGGTACGTCACAAGGAGTGGTGGGGGAATCAGGGATTCAGGCCTATTAACGTGAACAGTAACTGTATGTGTGTGAGGGTATAAGTGTGGCTATGTGCGGAATGTGATGGTATATAAAAGGGTTGTGAGGGTGCATAAATATGTGTGTGACTGGGGGTATGAGTGTGTGAATGAGGGGTGAGTATGGGCAGTGAGACAGGATGTATGGGTGTGTGTGACTGAGGGTGGATATGTGGCTGTGTGATGAGTGTCTGTGTGTGAATACATACATGAGTGAGTGTGGGTGTGCCCCATCTGTTTTATCTTGTAAGACTGGTGTTATTTATTGTACGAAGCTGTTGTCAGAGAGATCTCCCATCCGCTGGTTCACTCCCCAGATGCCTAGGGTAGCCTGGGTTGAGATAAGCCAAGTGTGCAAGCCAGGAACTCTGTCCAGGTCTCCAGTGTGGGTGACAGCACCCCAAGTACTGAGCCATCACCTGCCATCTCCCTCAGGTCACATTAGCAGGAAGCTGGAGTCCAGAGCCAGTGCCAGGTATCCTGCTATGGGATACAGCTGTCTGAACTGCTAAACCAATTCCCCCCACCCCGCAGTCCTGGAAGTTCTCACTCCATATTGCAGTGCAACAAGGACCCAGTGCGTATTTAGTGCCAGCAAAAGGAGTATTGGAGACCAAAGCAAAATCAAACCATGCAGCTGCCTGATTCTTGGCAGGTGGCTGGCATGAGAGGCGGGAATTGTTTGACGTCTTGGATTGGGGCACTTCCTGGCCGCCCTGCATCAGTCAGTCAACCACGTGTCCCTCTGGACCACTTTTTATTGAGTAGCTGAAGGCTGAAGTCTGTCCTTGCTAAGAACTACACACAAAGTTTCCAACTTCCGAGTCTGCACAGCCGACCTCTAATTGTGTGTGTGTGTGTGTGTGTGTGTGTGTGTATGTGTATGTGTTCGGCTCCCCTGTGGTTATTTGAAGTTTTCCAAGCAAAGCTGATAACCCAGCATGGCCACCGAGGTCTGTCCATACCCTGGCTGAGATCCTGCAGGTTGGCACCTGTGCTGTGCTGAATGTTGGCTTGTTCAGTGTTCAGACTGCCACTCGCTTCCCCCAAGCAGTGGCCAACAATGACTCATTTATTTTAATTAACTATCACATTTCTCTGATAATATCTATACTAGACACCAGTGAGGCTAATGAGATGTCCCTCTAATGTGCTTATTTTTAATATTTCAAGTTTTTAAAGATTTATGTCTTTGAAAGGCAGAATGATAACAAGAGGAGGGAGTCTCCCATTTACTCCTTCACTCCTAAGGTAGCCAGGTCTGGGTCAAACCCAAAACCAGGAGGAACTCAGGATGCTGGGCTGATCCGGAGCCATGCAGACTGCCTGTGAGGAATGCCCGATGGACGTGCTGACTGCATCAGTGAATGTATATGATAAGGAATAGGGACTCTGTCTCCCTCCCCGCCCTCCTCCTGGTAACCCTGCTACATCTCTCTTTCTCCATCCCTCCCCCCCTTGCCTGGGGCGGTCTCATCTGTGCATCCTGGTCCTCTCTCCTCATCCGTGCTCCAGGCACGTACACCTTGCAATCTATCACTGCTCCTGTGGGAGAGGCAGGATGCGGAATGTGGACTCCCATCCTGATACACATCACGCTTGACTTGGGAGCCGGAGCTGCCTGTACCTGCTCTAGAGCCATTGGTGGCGGGGGTGGAGCTGGGGGTAAGGATTCGGGGAAGAGAGAACCTTGAAAGAGCACAAGGGCGAGTTCTCCCACTGAGTTGGTTCTCCAGTCCCTGTTTCTCCCAGAGGAGAACACAGGGAAGATGCGAGCCCGAGTTCTACGGGCACTCACTGGTGCCACCTGCTGGGAGCGCTCACCTCCTGTATCCTCATCTCCCTGTCTCTCAGATGCCAACTTCTGCCAGGCACAACACATTGGTGGAGGGATGGAGCTTACCAACTTTCCTTGGTGTTTTTCCTAGATCAGCTTGGAACCCGAGAGAGTCAGGTTACTGTTTACCCAAACAAGTTTTTAAACGCATCTCTAGCACCAGCGAGTCATTTGACTCATGTTTGTTGACTGTCTCTAAGAAGTTCTGACCTCAATAAGCAAACCTCGGCGCTTTTTTTTTTTAAGATTTATTTATTTTTATTGGAAAGGCAGATTTACAGAGAAGAAGAGACAGAGAGGAAGATCTTCCATCTGCAGGCTTACTCCCCAGGCCCCAAACAAGGAGCTGAAAGGAAAGTGGAGCAGCCAGGATGCAAACTGGTGCCCATATGGGATCCTGGTGTGTGCCAAGCAAGGACTTTAGCCATTTTAGCTACCATGCAAGGCCCTGAGCTTTGTTTTTATTTTTGTTTATCTCAAACCCCAACTGACAGAGCTCCACATGAAGTATATTTGTTGTTTGAGGCCATTATCCACAATGAACCTAAATTCAGTGACTTGAAACTCTGCAGGTTCATTATCTTGCATATGGGGAAAGACAGAGTCCCCCAAAACAGGTTTTATGGCCAAGATCACCCACCCCTCTGCAGGCCCTGAGGGAGAATCGAATGCCTGGTCTTGCCCAGCTCCTGGGGGCACCTGCTCCCTTCTGTTCCACCCTCGAAGTCAGCTGCATGTGGGACACCTCTGGGGTCTTTCTGTGTGACCCTGCTTCTGACACCACAGCTTCCCCCCAAACCCCCAAGCCTTCTTGCCTTCCTGGGATTACACCAAACCCCCTTGGGTAACTATTGGCCTAGCTCAGCATCCTTAACTTCCCCAAGTCTGTAAAGTTCCCCAACACGATGGAAGCTACCAGAAGGGAAGGTGTGACCACCTTTCAGGGGAAGGGGAGCATTTTATTCTATAGACCCCACCTCGAGGCCGCACGGTCCCTCACACTGGATATTGAGGCCCACATTCTAACTCCTGGATGTATTTGCAGATGCAGAGAGAAATCGCTTATGCCAGAGGAGACGGCGCTGGATCCCGACCCGGATCAGCCGCTCATACTCCCCACGCCATCCCGAGCTCTCCACCATCCACACCTGTGCCCCACTCCATGCCTCCCTCCCCATCCAGGATCCCGTACGGGGGCTCCCGGCCCATGGCGATGCCTGGCAACGCCACCATCCCCAGGGACAGACTGTCCAGCCTGCCCGTGTCCAGATCTATGTCGCCCAGCCCAAGCGCCATCCTAGAGAGGAGAGACGTCAAGCCCGATGAGGACATGGCGGGCAAAAACATGGCCCTGTACAGGAACGAGGGTTTCTACGCGGACCCCTACCTCTATCACGAGGGGCGCATGAGTATAGCCTCTTCACACGGAGGCTACCCACTGGATGTCCCCGATCACATCGTCGCCTACCACCGCACAGCCGTCCGCTCGGCCAGTGCCTACTGCAGCCCCTCCATGCAAGCCGAGATGCATCTGGAGCAGTCGCTGTATAGGCAGAAGTCCCGGAAATACCCCGACAGCCATCTGCCCACGCTGGGCTCCAAGACGCCGCCCACCTCCCCGCACCGGGTAGTGGGTGACCTGCGCATGCTGGACCTGCACGGGCACGGCGCCCATGGGCCCCCACTGGCTTTGCCGCCTGACCGCGCTTCACCCAGCCGCCAGTCCTTCAAGAAGGAACCAGGTACCTTGGTGTACCTGGAAAAGCCACGGAACCTTCCCGGCTTCGTGGACCTCGGGCCACCCCTGGTGGAGAAGCAAGTTTTTGCCTACAGCACGGCTACGATCCCCAAAGACAGAGAGACCAGGTAAGGTGTGGGAAAAGTGAGGGGTGGGAGAGGGAGGGAGAGGAGCAAAGGGTGCACCCGCAGCCTCATACAGGGCAGGGTATGTGTGGCCAAGCCGTTAGCAGCCAGCTGGCTGCTGGGTGTGAGTCTGACGGCATTGTATTATCAACATGCTTCTAAACAGTTACAGGGGGAAATGGGACTGCACAGATGCTTGTTCAGACAAACAGATCTGGGACTGGCAGCCCCTGACCTGTCCCTAAACACACACAGTGAGGAGTTCAAGGTGGAGATACTTGATGGGCACTTGGCATTTTTCCGTGTTGATTGTAGTTTTGTTGTCTTATCAGCGTGCCGCTCACTGTCTGCTAGGAATGCTGACAATCTGAATGTACATGAAACTAGCAGATTCCATTTCACAATGACAAAATCAGTCAAAACAAACCTTTCAGGTATTTAAAATACCCCTTTTAAAAAATAAAATGTATTTATTTGAAAGATGGAAGGACAGAGAAAGTGTGTGTGTTCTTTCAACTGGTTCACCGCCCAAGTACCTGGACCAGCCAGGTTGGGGCAGACCAAGACCAGGAGCCGCCAACTCCTTGTGGGTTTTCTGTATGGGTGCCTGGCTCATCTTCTGCTGCCTTCGCAGGCACGTCAGTAGGAAACTGAATCAGAAGCTGGGCAACAAGGACTCAGTCCCATGCCAGTCGTCCCACTGTGGGATGCTGGCATCACAGGTGGGGGCTTACTCCATGACACCACAATCCTGGTACCTGAAATTTTTCTATAGTAATTTACCTGTTCAGAACCTTCTTACTGGCAGCACCACAGCGCCAGTCCCATTAAGTAAGTGCTTTAAAAAAAAAATAAAACCTACAGCTGGAACCAGAGCCACCTGCACCACCAGATCCACCTTGTAGATAGCAGAGGTCCTGCTGCTGGAATCTGCCACCTTAGACACATCCCACTGTCTCTCCCCTGCCAGGTCCTGGGCATGCTCTGGCCGGCCCTGGCATCTGCCTTCTGCCCAGAGGTTGACTGTTATTTCCAGCATGACAAATCACAAGAAAAATGGGCTAAAATGGTTCAGGCTCTGCTGAAATAGATTATCATTAGCATGTTACTCTTCTGATGCCTATGATTCCGCATTTTGTGGGTTTTTTCCCTTCCCCCAAATGTGAGGCTGTAACACAAGAATTTTTATCTCACACATCTGATCTAGGTGACCCTTCACTTATTAATCAGCTGTGTCTCCCAGAAGTGGAATCAGGGTGCTTGGGTGTGGGTGGGCTGGATAGAGGGTCTCTCATTACTGTGTAAACCTACATACACACAGTGCACTTCTGCAGGCACACATACACATGTGTGTTACCCCACACACACATGCCCATGCTCACCCTCCCTCCTCCTCTGCAGTCACTGTCGCTCAAAGGTCAAAAGCCACCCTGTAACCCCACTCAGGCACAAGATAGGAGTGAGCATGGCTCATTTCTAGCAAAGAACATGAGTCTGGAAATTGCTACCCTCAGCCCTTCCACCTGTCTTCCCCTTCCCCACCTGGGCTCATGAGAACATGCGGCAAGATGAGACCTTCAGGGCTCAGGCCAGACCTCCTCCCCTCCCACTGCAGTTCTCTCTTGTGACATACATGCTCAGTGACTGGGCGACAGGGAAATCTTGCTGAATGTTCCAGAAAGATGTGCTTGTCAGCAGCCATCAAATCTGAGAGCTGTCAAGAGCCAAGTGCATGCTGAGGGGCTCCCAAGCTCTGTACCATGTGGTCATCGTGACGTCCGCTAAGGTAGGCGACTCTGCCATGCCTACTCTACAGATGCAAAAACTGAGGTCTCAGGGCTGGTATGTGGCCCAGCATGCAAAGTCATGTGATTGCCGGCCTCCTATGTGGGCAAAGGTTCGAGTCCGAGCTGCTCCATTTCAGATCCAGTTCCCTCCTAATGTACCTGGCAAAGCAATAGAGGAAGGCCCCAAGTGTTTGGGCCCCTGCCATCCAATGGGAGATCCGGATGAAGCTCATGGCCCCTGGCTTGGGCCTGGCCCAGCTCCAGCCTGTTGTGGACATTTTGAGAAGTAAAGCATGGGATAAAGGCTCTTTTCTATGTCTGAGACACAGAGAGGATGAGGAGCTTAGAGAATGGCAGAAAAGTCCAGGCCCCTTAAAGAATCTACTCGGCCCTTCCATCTGGGGAGGGAAACTTCACTGACAGAGAAGTAAGTTCGGGAATGAATTCTGAGCATTGAGTCCAAATCCTTCAAAAAGAACTGGTTCAGGATTAGAGACTATGTAACTGCCCCCAAGGGATATTTACAACCATAAACGCAGCAGGATTTGCATAATTGCACTGCTAAATATATACATGCCACTTAAAATATAACCGCCCTCGCTGGTAGGTTAGCACAATTATGCACAAATAGGAGAGGAAAGAAAAGGACATTTCTTGGTAGATTTTATTTTTTAAAAAAAAGTCTCAGGACTATGTCAAAGGAAAACATTTTAAAACAGAAATGCCAAGAACAATTACCAAGACACCAAATTATAGTCCATTGTCTCACCTGCACCATGATGTGATTTTAGAAATATGAAGTTTCTGAGAGCGCTCTAGAATCTTGACCCTCTTAAAGTCATAACTTCCTAAGCACGGGGTATAGAGGGCAGAATCAGTTTCAGTTCAGTTTCAACATAGGAGAAAGCAAGAGGGTGAGTGTACTTTTCCATTATTTTTTAGATGTATCTGTTTATTTGCAAATTAGAAAGAGAAACATTCCATCTTCTGGTTCATTCCTAGATGGCTACAATGGCTGGGCCAGGCCAAAGCCAGGAGCCAGAAGGCAGGAACTTCTTCTTGGTCTCCCAGTTGAGTGCAGGGGCCCGCGTCTTCTGCTCCTTTCCCAGGCACATGAGCAGGGAGCTGGATTAGAAGTGGAGCAGCCAGAAGTCAAAACTGTTGCCCTTATGAGATGCAGGCATCACAGCTCTTCTCACTGTGGCACAGCACCATCCCCCAGCACCAAAATATCTTTCAGCCTGGGTAACTGGAGGATGGCAGAGATCAGAGAGGAAGTTCAATTGACTTCAAAATGAAGAACACAAAAAGAAATCACTTAATATTATTTCTTACATGTAGTCATGTGCCATATCCTAATGAATTAGATATGTCTTTTTTTTCTCCCTCTCTGTTTCATTTACTGTTTTTTTTTTGTTTGTTTGTTTTGTTTTGTTTACCTTATATGAAAGGTAGAGAGACAGAGATCTTCTATCTACTGGCTTATTCCCCAAATACCTTGAACAGCAGGGGCTGGGACAGGTCAGAGTCACAAGCCAGGAACTCTGTGTGGGTCTCTTGCCGGCAGTGGAGGCTCCAGGCCTTGAGCCATCACCTGCTGCTTCCAGAATATGCGTGAGCAGGCAGCTGGGATCCAACACAGAGGAGCCAGGACTCCAACCAACCCAGGCATTCTGATCAGGGATGACCATGTCCCAAACAGCAGCTTCACCACTGTGCCTGATATGTGTTTTCTATTAAAGCATGCTAAACATCCTGGTGCAATGGCTCAATGGCTGAGTCCTTCCCTTACAAGTGCCTGGATCCCAAAGGAGTTCCGATTCATATCCCAGATGCTCCACTTCCCATCCAAGTCCCTGTGTGTGGCCTGGGAAAGCAGTCGAGGACTGCCCAAAGCCTTAGGACCCTGCACCCACATGGGACACCCAGAAGAAGCTTTTAGCTCGTGGTTTTGGATCAGCTCAGCTCCGGCCATTGCAGCCACTTAGGGAGTGAACCAGTGGATGGAAGAATTTTTCCTTTGTCTCTCCTTCTCTCTGTAAATCTAATCTGCCCTTCCAATAAAAACAAGTTAGACACATGTGTCCTAATGACAAATTATATCTAAGATATGGTGTAGACATGGACAGGACAACACTTGTGGCCATGTGGGGCCACGGGCCTTGGGGAAGAACAATGAGAGCACCTGTTGTGGCTTTCAGGAAGCTTTCCCTTGTCTGAGCTGCGCAGAGATGAGGTCGCTCTACCCAGAAGCCTTCCCTCATCAGCAACTCCCTAGCTGTGAGTGGGTCTGAAGGGCCAGGCATGGCTGCACGGGAGCTGGTATAGAAAGTGTTTTTATGGAACTGGCTGTCCAGATTCCAGGGGACTCCTTGCACAGGGACAGGTGACTCATCCTGCTCATATGTCAGAGATGCAAAAGGAGTTTCCTAGAGGCAGTCAGTCAGCTTGGACCCAGGTCTTGTTTCTCTGCCACTGCTACCCCCTTAGAGGGGCTAAATCTGAAGCTTGCCCTCTCCAGGTGCCCTGTGTCTGATGAAGGAGAGGCTGTGTGAGATGAGGATGTGATTCCGGGTGTACCTGTCAATCTAGAGCAGACTGCCAGGCCTTTGTTCCATGGGAAAGATGACAGAAGGAAGACTTCCATGTGTAGGCCGAAGCCCACGGGCTCACTGGCTCCTAGAGTCTGTCCACCTCCCCTTCTCATTGTATGAGGTTTACGTGTTTTCATGCTGGTAGCTTTGAAGGATGCAATGAAGCCCTGGCTTAACCAGAATGTCCAAATTGCACCTGATGTTGTTAGAACTGGCAGAGCAGGGAGGAACTCCATCTTGTGCGCTGAGCATCAGTGATCTACAGAGAATAGCTAAGTTCTTTCCATCCTGCATGAATGGTCAGCGTGAGCCCCATCAGGCAACACCTAAGCATCTCTCTATAATGAGGTTTCTTTTATTTTTATATCATTTGAAATGGGGAGAAAGAGAAAGCCACCTTCTCCTGGTTCATTCCCCTTAATGACCACAGCCAGCCGGGAAGGAGACTGCCAGGAGCCTGGACCTTCATCTGGGATTCCCAGCTGGGTGGCAGGGACCCAAACATTGGAGCAGGCACCTGTTGCCTCCTGGGGTGCACATGAGCAGGAAGCTGGATCACAGGTGGAGAAGCCAGAACTCCAACCAGCTGTTCTAATGTGGGTGTCACAAACAGTGACTTAAC